GTAACATCTTCAGTGCTAAAATGAGATGGGGTTTGATCTCTACTTATATACTGTGGCATGCCTTGCCAGTGCTGGTGTGGGTGGGGGTTTTGTTTTGCTCCTCTGATAGTTCCTTGATTAGCATATGTTCACTACTTGATTGTGTGCCTATTGGTAACCTCTGCTTATCTGGGTGATGATTGCTGGTGAGGTGATCTTCTGGTCATCTGTCTCTTTTGAATAGTATGTAGAGATAAACATAGTTGCCAATGGCTTTCTTATTTCTTATTTACAGTTAGAAAGGTGTAAAACAGACAAAAGAGTTTATGGTTCTGAACACTGTAAGACTGAGTTTGAAATATACAAACGAACATGCAGTTGTTAAAATGTATAAACTTCTGTTGAAATTTGAAACAGGAGAAGAACAAGTGGAAGAATGTATGATAAAGTGGACTAAAAATTTTGGTTATAATATACAGATGGAACAGTGGGAAAATACGTGGTTGAAAGGATTGAAATTTACATTATGTCATAATATTAAAGAGAATTTTTACAAAATGATGTACTGTTGATATATGTCACCAGAGAAATTGTCTAGAATGTATAAAGGCACTTCAAATTCACGTTGGAAATGTGACCAATAAGAAGTGACATTTTATCAAGCTTGGCAGACGTGTAAACAAGCTAGAAAATTTTGGATTCAAATACATACACTGGTTCAGAGGATTTTAATGATTAATATACAATTGAGGCCAGAGGTCTTTCTTTTGGGATTGATGGACAAACAGTTAGGAAAAAGTTATGGAATTTTGTTTTTGTATATGATAACTGCAGTGAGATTATTGTACGCATAAAGATGGAAAGACTCGGCAATCCCTACATTGGTATGGTTGGTGAAGATAATGGAACTCACTGAGATGGCCAGATTCAGTTCTTTGATTAGAGAAAAGACAATATCTACATTTATTGCTGACTGAAAACCCCTCATGGACTTTTTGCACAAAATAGAAAAAATGAACTTATGATTTATGGTTTTGATGATTAGACAGGTTAGATTATAGAAAGAAGAAAGACGCATTACAGCTTTAGAGAAAGAGGTAAATGTATAAATTGTACTTATAACTGCTGTAAAGAAGATCGGAAGCCACTTCTTTGTATCTTTTTTCTTT